TCCCCTCTTCCTCTCTTCCTCTCTTCTCCTCTTCTCCTCTTCCTCTCTTCCTCTCTTCCTCTCTTCCTCTCTTCCCCTCTTCCCCTCTTCCCCCCCCCCCCCCCCGGGCGCGCCACTTGAACCCATGCTGCCTTGCCAAATCGCCTCGCGCTGCCTTCCATTGCCCGGTTTCATGTCCGAGGGATTGTATTCCTCCCCCAGGGGCTTGTGCCCCGAGGGCGCGTCGGGCTCCGGCGCCCGATCCAACACCAGCAGGCAGGCCTCGGGCGGTCGGTCTAGGCGCCCGCACGCGCACAGGGCCCTCTTGTGCCACGAAACACGAGGCCCCTCCCCCGGGGGTCGCTTGCGGCCGCTGGTGAGATTGGCTTGGCATTCCTTTGGACGGCGTGTTGTTGCTCATGCCCGGCCCCGGGGGCCGGCGGTCGGGGGTAATTTCTTTTTTTCCGGCCCCGCCCTGATGTTGTGTGGCTGACCGCGTCTTTCCACAGCTCCTCTCGCCGCGCTGCCGCCGCCGCCCCGGCTCCGCCCTCTTCGCAATTCCACCCCTCCCGCTTGCTGCCCTCATCACCCTGCCCTCCCCCCCCCCACTCCCTGCCACCCGCCCGCCCGCCCGCACGCACATACACACACACACACATACATATATACATACACACGCGCGGCCGTTTGTATTCTCGTGCGCGTCTGCCCGAGCTGGCTGTGCGGGCTCCCCCCCCCCCCCCCCCCCCCCCCCTAAGAGTGGGCGGGCCGGGGGGGGGGATCCGGTGCGGATGCCCTCCCGCCGGCCGTACACGCTGGGCCTATCCTGTACCTGATGGACACGACAGCCGGCATCGCGGCTTGGCGCCATTGCCAGGCCCACATTGTCACCATCAGTGCCCAGGCCATTGACTTCCGCCGGACCGTGGGTGTGGGTGAGGTCCTCACCTCCTCGGCCAAGATCGTCTTTGCTGGGGGGCTGGGGGTTGCCGCCCCCCCCCCCCCCCCCCCTGCGCTCATGCACCGTGCTGGCGGCCTGCGACGCGGCCCGGCGCACCCGGTCGCCATTTGGGTGCTCGTCAATGCCCTGGTTCTGGCCATTGGCTGGCTAGGCCCGGTCGTCAGTGCCGATGAATACCTCTACCAGCTGCCCTGGAGCATGGCAGACTCCAGCAGCCCGATGGAAATTGGCCATCCCATCCAGGGGGACGTCAGCGCTGCCACGCAATTTTGGGCCCACCACATGCTCTGGGTCTACAAGCAGGAGGCCGACTTGGGGACATTCACCGAAACCCGCCTCGGGCCAATCTTCTCGGCCACTCCAAGACACCGACTGCAGCCCAACGTCTTCTCGGACGCCATGCAGCCCGCGCTCTTGCCCTCCCAGTCCCAGCTTCCTGGGGCCATTTTCCAGCAAAGCGACAGGCTGATTGTCTGGCAGCAGAGCTCTGAGCCGGTAGACCTGGTCTTGGATTCCGTCAGTCGGCTTCTGGCATCGGTCGCTCGCGCGGACTCCTCCAGCGTCCACCTGCTTCTTGAGAGCACTGGCCTTGCTCTGACCCTTGTGGTGGCGGATGGCACCGCTCCTGTGACGCCCATCTCGATGTCGCTTCCGCTCACACTTGACCCGACCCACCCGTTGTCCGTGGTGACCGACGGCACGGGGGATCGCTTTTTCCTGGGGATCTCCTCCGGCGTGTTGGTCGCCACGGTTTCCCCGCTGAAGGAGGTCATTCAGGTGTCCCAATTCTCGGAGCCCGTGGAGCGGCTCCTCTCCACGCGTCTTACATCGGTCAATCAGTTGGATCTGGTGGTACTGTCGCAGGGTGGCCAGCTGGACATCTGCTTGGACATGCAGTCTGACCACACCTGCGCGACAACCGTGACCGGCCCACTGCCCGAGTCGGCCACCCCGGCCAACGTGCACTTTCTCAACCTCCCGCCGGCGGAGAGCCTCCAGCCGGCTGGGCGCCTACTTTTGGTCGATCGGGCCACCCAGCGCCTTTGGGCAACGCACCAACTGGTCTCGGGAGCCGCGCTCACTTGGACTCGCATCCACCTGCCCAACTTTTTTGGGGACTGGGCCAATCTGCGACTGTTACACCTGCGGGTGCCTCCCTCGCCGGCGGGGTCCCACCGCCTGGTTGTGGCCACCAAGATGGACATTTTCCTCGACCACCAGGCCATGGGGTGCGGCGTCGACCCAACCATCATGTGTGGACCGACGTACAATCATATGTATGATCTCCTCCCTCGAGGCTGGGGATGCACCACGTTCAACTTCCTCAGCCCACTTCATCCCTCTGGGCGCCTGTGTGCCGGTTGTCAGCCTGGTCATACCACTGCGATGGTTGGGGCAACGCAAGGTGCATTTGTCCTGCCACCTGCCCCCCTTCCTCTCTCTGCCTCTCTGCCTCTCTGCCTCTCTGCCTTTCTTCCCCTCTTCCTCTCTTCCTCTCTTCTCCTCTTCCCCTCTTCCTCTCTTCCTCTCTTCCTCTCTTCCTCTCTTCCTCTCTTCCCCTCTTCCCCTCTTCCCCATCATTTTCTCTTGCTCCACGCCTCCCGCACATATCCAACATGCTCCCTAGCACCCCCCTCAGTCTGACCTCCAATCCCAGCCCCCCCGTGCCAGCCCTGTGTAATTGCCGGATGTCACTCTTGTACCACATCACATTGCCTGGTTTGCAATCATGATCTACTGTTGGTGGAGAACCCCACCAGTGGTGAAACCTCATGCGTGGCGTCCTGCCCTCCGGGCTTCCGCCAGCACGGGCAGGCGTGCTTCCCCGTGCTGAGCAGCCGGAAGCTGGGCCTGGATGTCGTGTTGGACCCGATCCGCGAGCTCGACGGCACTTCTAACAACTCAATCGCCGGCCTGGCCCGAACGTACCTGACCTTGGAGAATTCCTCGCTGACCCTGACCCGGGCAATGGTCACCGCCCGGGACCCGACTTCCCTGCTGGCTCTCCTCCCCGAGCGAAGCACCATGGCGATCATTCACAATGGCCTCGGGGACCATGCCAACACCAGGGCCCTCGTCCTGACGAGTAATCCCCCCGCTGGCAGGAAATTGACCTCCCTCCTGGAGATGGGTCTCACCGTCCTCCCTGACGGCCATGTGCAACTGCAGTGGTTCTTTTGCCAGGCTGATGGCTCCCTGTTCTCCATGGTCCTCGGCTGTGACCTCCCACCCGGCGGGGGGGACAGCTGCGAGCCGTCCTTCTCCCAGCCAGCCTCCATCACACTTCAGGGTGCCTGCCAGCAGATTCATCCCTTGGACGAGTCCCATGCCGTGGTGCAGACATCCGGCGGGAGTTTGCTCATCGGGCTGCGCCTGCAGGGGGCCGCCTATGTTACCCGCGAGATCCCGGCCACCATCGGGTCGCCTGTGCTCCTTCCTCCCCTGGCGCAGGACTCCCGCGGGCCGTGGCTGCTGTCCGGATTCCTGAATAGCAGTCAGCTCCACCTGATGGGGCTGGTATTTGATGCCGATCCGCGTCTTCGGTCTCTGCCGGGACCGGCTCTGGGCCTGAATCCCTTTGATCAAGGCGGCCGGCCTGTCATCCTGCCCACCGGTCGCCCTTTGCACCCGGTCGAGGGGCTGTTCAGCTGGCTGGAAGATGGGCCCCTTGGCCGGGGGACTGTCAACTGGATGGCTCGCGTGGCCCCCTTGGGCCGAGCCGCCCAGGGCCTCACCGACAACCAAGCCAGCACCACCCTGCACTTGGCCGGCTTATCGGCCGAGGATGGGTCCCGGCTGGCAGACCAGATCCCCCATGTGCTGGTTGGCTTGTCGCTTGCCGGGCTGGCTGCCTCGGGGTTTCCGGCTGCGCTGCTGCTGCTCACTGACAAGGAGGCCGGGGTGGCTTTGTTGCACTGCCCCCCGGAGGTGGACCACTGCCGTCTGCAGCCGGGGCAAATGTTCCCCCTGCCCTCGGGCCTGTTGTGGAACCCGCCCAAGCTGCAGGTGTCGCTGGTGCCCCCTGCCCGGCAGGCGCCGGAAGCCGTGGATCCAGTGCAGGCCGGCTGGACCCTGGCCGCATCCTTCATGGTGACGGGCATGACCACATTCGATGAGCGTTATCACCCGCTGCGGCTGTCCATCCGGGCCTCCCCCTGTGACTGGGGCTCCTTCGGGCCCGAGTGCGAGCCGTGCCATGGGAAGTGCCTCGATTGCGATGGCCCGGGCCCGAGCGACTGCCTCCTCTGTCGGTACCACCTGCCGGCAGCCCCGGACACCTGCCTGGATGCATGCCCGACGGGGCTCTTCTCCATGGCCCCCGGCGCCCCGTGCGCCTGCCATCCGAGCTGTCAATCCTGCGCCCCGCCGGACCTGGACCCGAACGGTGCATTCTACTGCCACGCTTGTGCATCGGGGTACGGCCTGCCGGTGGGCGTCCCCCGGCCCGAACTATGCCTTGCTTGTCATGCCAACTGCTCGGAATGCTCGGTCGCCGGCGACCCGGCCGCTTGCACACGCTGCCGGCCGGGGCTCCTGCTCCACGGCTCCCAATGTTTGGACGCCTGCCCGCCGGGGTTCTGGCCCGATGACCAGGACACCTGCCAGCTCTGCACGGCCCACTGCCAGTCCTGCCTCGGGCCGACCGCCTGCGAGACATGCGCGCCGCAGTACTTCCTCCTCGGCGACCTGTGCGCCCGGTGCGACGGGACCTGCGCCGCCTGCGACCGGGCCGATGCCTGCCTCGCCTGCCAGCCGGGGCTCATCTTCCTGCAGACCGACCCCCAGGCCGGGTCCCTGTGCGGCAGCATGTGCGCCCCGGGCGAGTACGCCGGGCCGGCCCGCTGCACGGGCTGCCACGCCTCGTGCAGCCTATGCGCCGGGGCCGCCCACCAGTGTCAGGTGTGCGCCGCGGGCCACCGGTGGTCCGGGGCCGCGCCGGCGCCCGGGGCCACCGGCACATGCGTCGCCTGCCCGCCCAGCTGCACCGGCTGCACCCCGAGCAAGTGCCTCGGCTGCGAGGAGGGCCTCTTCCTGACGCACGGGGGCGCATGTGTCGGCGGCTGCCCGGGGGGCACCTTCGGCGACGCCGACACCGGGACCTGCCAGCTGTGCGATGTCAGCTGCCAGGAGTGCGCCGGGCCGACGGACGCCCACTGCTCGGCCTGCGCCCCGGGGCTGGACCCGGTCCCCGCGCCGGGGGGGCTGTGGACCTGCGCGCCGGCCTGCCC